CGTGCCTGTGTGAGCGTGCGCCACATTTGTACTTGTGTAACTTTGGAAATCTGTATTTACGTGGGTACATTAGAGTGTTTTGTGTCTTGAAACACTGATGTGTTTCTGCGTAGATGCGTGCGGGTCTTCTGAATTAGCATGTTTTGCTTATTAACAAAAGAGAATAGGAAATAGGTGTGTCAGTTTGTCAATCAGGTATGTTTTTCAGTTGTTTCAGTTTCACCGTTTGTCCTTGACAGGGCAGACAAAGTTATGAAAGAGGGCAGAAGTGCACAGAATAAAGCCTTTACGCTCTGATCTAAAGCTCTGTGCTCTTTCTTTTCCTTGTGAAAGCCGCGTAGGCTTCAGAGACGTTTATCTAAGACACTCTGGGACTCCAGACTTCAGTAGATTTAGGTCTAAACCTGGATTTAGAGGTGATGAATCTTATAGCTACACACCCTGTGCTATATCTGTATCCATCTGCCAATCTTAATTCCCTTTCATGAATCAGCCCACGGCAGTTAAGCTTGCAGGAGGAAAACAGAGCAGAGTAAATAACCGAGTGGCTTTAGTTGGAGCTAAATTTGCTGGTAATTCAAATCGCCAGCAAGAGCAGAGATTGGTCAATCAAATGAACACAGGACCTAAATGTAAATAAATCTGTACACAACTATTGGTAAGGTATTGGCTTTGTAAACAAACGTGCTTGCTCTTAACCAGAAACAATCCAACATTAAATAAACAAAACAGCAAAGAAAAGTGTTTTTTTAAATCCAATTTCTTGTTCTTAGGATTTCTATTAAACGTAAAACAACATGATAGATTCTGATCTTGTTTTTCATGTTAAGTTCAGGTCTTTTGAAGAGTTTCTGTGAACAGGTTTTGAGCAGTTAAGGTCTTTCTTGTCGTATATTGCTCTTTGAGCAACCTTTGTTTGGAGAAACAGGGATTTGTTTGAACAGATGAGCTGATTGCCAGTTTCAGTGGGATATGCTGTGCTGATATAAATTTTATCTAAGAAAACTCAAAGCATGCATCACGACTACTTGTGTTGAAATAGGGGGTTGTAGCTAAGAGAACTACAGGAGAACTTTTGATTAAAATGTCAAACAATTACAGGTGAAACTGGAAAAATAGAATTAAACGTCCATTTATTTCAGTAATTCAGTTTAGACTGAGAGACCATCTAAAGGCTCAAGAACCATTTGACAGGAGTTTTGGAATCATCAGCTGATTAGTGTGACACTTTGAGCCTTGAATATTGAACCTTTTTTCAATATTCTAATTGTCTGAGATTTTGTATTTGGAGTTTTCATTAGCCATAATCATCACAATTACAACAAATAAAGGCTGAAAGTCTAACTTTACATGTTATGAGCCAATCTCATCTATTAGTTTCACCTTCTGAGTTGAATTATTGACATCAATGAACGTTTGCACCATGTTCACATTTTTCAAGTTTCATCTGCAAATGTCAAATGTACTGCAAATGTATTTATGCAGTGTAAAACATTTTTGAGAATGGATATATGAGGACTTTTTGGAAAGGGCCCCATTGTGACTTGTTTGTTCGATCGGAACTTATCTTTGATTCTAAAATTTGAAATTATAGCCTCAATAGCAACTAGAAAACCCATCATATTAATCCTATTTTTAATTAAGATGAATTTCTGTGGTTCTTTGAAATTATATTGGATATAATGTTAGCTGCTGCGATGCATTCAGGGATACTGAAAATAAAATAATCTCTTTTTTTTTTTTCCGGAACTGTGCTGCTCTGGGCGGCTGCATGTTGGAGTAGCTCTGTTGACTATACGTAAGTTTTGCCTTCTCTTGGGCATTTTTTCTTCTAGTTTCTCAAGAAAAACTGTATTTTTTTGGACACTTTATTTTTCTGTTTCTGGTGCTGTGAAGCTCGGAGGATTTTTACTGCTATTTTTTTTTAGCTTTTTTCACTTTTGAGAATTTGTTATTATGCGTAACCATGGCAACAAGCTGGTTTACAATCGGGAGCAGCTGATTAACATTGGAAAGGCTGAAATAATACCTCAACTGAAGCCACAAATCCCAAATGAGCTAAAACTCAAGAAGCGTGGATGCAGAGCGGGAGCAAAACAGCGACAAAGAGGACATTAAAACCATCTCTTCCATCAATCATAATGGGCAATGTGAAATCACTGGCCAAAAAGATGGAGGAACTCCAAGCCCTTTCAAGGGCTCAGCCAGAGTTTTGGCACTTTCGAACCACTGGAGAAGATAATGCAGGCTCAACAGCCTAATAAAAAAGGTTGGTTCTGTTCTGGGGAAGGCTGTGGAACCACTGGAGGAGATAATGCAAAGAAGGATTCTCCAGAGAATCAAGAAAATGATGGACAACCCTGAGCATTCTCTTCACAAGACTGTCCGACAACGGAAGAGTGTCTTCAGTCAGAGGCTTCTTCAGTTTGGCTGCAACAATGACCGCTACTGGAGATCCTTCCTGCCAACAGCCATTGTAATATACAATAACTCTTTGATGACTTGATTATTATTATTATTATTCTGAGCTACTACAGCAATCAATTTCCTTCTGGGATTAATAAAGTATTTTTGAATTGAATTGAATTGAATTTAGAGTATTTATTGACCTTTTGCACCGACGTCACCTAATCACGTGGGTCCACCATGGTGGACGGCAAAAGCATGTAAACAGTGAGCGACACGATTACTAAACAAAGGGAAAAGTAGAGCCTGAAATTGTTTTTGCGATCAAAACAAAAACAAAACTCCTCCAGTGTTCCTTCAACTAGTTCAACTGCCCAGTTCAGTTATCAGAAGAAGTAGCGCATCTAGCCGGGGCTCATAGAGAGCGGTATGCTAACTAGCTTACTGACGTTAGCTTACGTTCTCTCTGCAGCCGTTCACCGATGTAAACATGTTGCTGACTTTGCCTAAATTCACCCCTCTGGATTTATAACTTTATGTTATAAACAGCGTTTCACTTTACACCAAAGCTGATTGTTAAAAAGTCCGGATCCTACCAGCTTCTGTTGCTGGTGGTGTTACCGGGTTCAGCTGCTGCTCTCACACCGGAATGAGAAGATCTCTGAACGCCAACGCTCATATAAATAAATAATGTAATTTTAACACACGTAATCATACATCAAAGCTTTAATATTGTTAATAATTATCTCACTTTACACTACAGTGGACGGAGTGCAGCCTCCGTGGTGAAACACCCATCCATCAGGATTATCAATAACTAGTATAAACATCACATTTATCCCTGTCCCTGTCTTACTCGTGAAATAAATGAACGTTAATCTTACACAGTAAAAACATGTTCGCTGCAAATCTGAGGCCTGCTAGTCCGCTTGATTGATCGCTGCAGTTCATCTCCGTCCTCTCCATCAAAGTTATTAAAAAGAAAAAACTAGTTGAGTTTACGTCCTTGTCTCACTGCAGCCGACCACGCAGCAAGCTAAAACCATTTTACTGTCAAATCAACTAAATAAAAGCGACAAAAGGCTACAAACTGGCTTGTTTTGACTACCTTCACTGGAGTCTCTACGGGTGTAAACGGTCTTTTTGCCGTCCATCATGGCGAAGGGAGCGGTCGCATGAGTGGCGTGACGTCACGCGCAAAGGGTCAATTTAAGACCCAGGGGCAGAGCTTCAGGGTGGTCCTGGTCCAGACTTGGGGGAGGGGCCCACCTTTGCAACAAGGCGGATGAGAGCACTTCCATAACTTGCACTCAGAGGAGAATGAGCTCCATTCTTAATAATTCCTCTCATGCAGATTTATTTAAGGTTTATGTAGGTTGCCCCAGTCAGGATTGAGTCATGGTTGCTAACGCCGGGACACACCAGCCGCGGAAGCGCCGAGAAGCGAATCGCTCACGAAATTCGGCCGCTGCTCACCGCTCCTCAGTTCAGATCAGACGCGCCCCAGTCGAGGCGCGCCTTGGCTCAGCTGTAGATTTTCTTTTAAACACTTGGTGTCCTCCATTTCCTCTCTGCCTTTTCTCAGCTCTTTTCCTCTACGTTTGAGTGTGTGTGTGTGTGTGTGTGTGTGTGTGTGTGTGTGTGTGTGTGTGTGTGTGTGTGTGTGTGTGTGTGAACCTATGGTATGAGTTGTTTCTGCCAGTTGAATCTCTTGGAACCCGCTCCAATTCTGCAGCTGTATCCTAGCAGTTTCTTCCTAAATGGGTACGTAAATAACCGTGTTTTTCGGGGGTCGTGCGGCTCCTTGTGTTTCTCAACTTCCATAATTAATTTAAAGTCATCCATCCTAACTGCTTGCCTCAGACTTTCTTCCTCTCTGTCCTGTTTGCTCCGGTGAAAAGACACCCAAAACCACACACCCCTTCATGTGGTCACACACGCACACAAGTTCGATGTGTGTGTATGTGTGTGTGTGTTCGTGTGGTTTTTCTGCAGTGTCTGATTATGAACACATTTGACTATTGCGGAATTTTATTTTGAAATGCTTTGTTTTGTTAACTTTACCGGCCTGCCTCTTATGTCTAGGTTTGACTTCCTGCCAGAATTGACGCGATTCACCTGCGGCTCGCGAAAAAAATAGAGCCGACGCCGAAATGATCGCTGCACGGAGCGGGCTGGAGTGCCGGCGCGAGGCGATTCGCGGCACTTCGGCGGCCCATGTGCTCTATAGAATAGCTTAACAAGGGAGCCGAATGAAGGCGGTCCCATTTTCGCGGCGCTTCGCAGCGCTTCCGCGGCCGGTGTGTCCCCGGTGTAACTCAACAAGACCGACTGACTTCAGTGATGTAGTAAATGTAAAATATTGAATAAAATGTTGAGCTAGATGACAGGTTTTATTTTCACTCTCACATGTAGCTTTATGACCTGCTAACTTACAAGTGGATCTCCGAAATCATCTCCAAGTGTATTATGGCTAAAACCCATCATCAGCCGTTCACCATCATCGTCATCATCATCATCCCTTGTAAACAGATAGCAAACTAGGTGGCTAACAGAGCAAATATAAATGCTTTTGGTCTCAGGGTTTATTTTAGTTCCATTTCCAAGACGGACTTTTCTAGCGAAGCTGATCATCATCACGAGTCCACCCAACCCCGTCGCTAGTTTGTCTCAGAGAAAGCTTTACGACAGTCCTCATGTGCAGAGAGGACGACGGTTTTTGTCTAAATAATCAGAAACTTTGGTGAGTGTTATTAATTTTATTTACACATAAAACCAAATGAATTAATATATTTTTTAGCTGTTGATCATGTGGTCGGCAGTGGCGCAGTTGCGGCTGTAATGTAGAGGTTTGAAACGGTTTTAAGGGGGTTTCTATTTGTGACAACGGTATTCCATCTTAATGCACAAAATGTTGTACTGAATTCGGTACTTTTTAAGGTACCGACCGAATTCCATAGTACCGACCAAGCACCGATTCACGTCGTTTCAAACGGTGCCTCGTTTCGGTACCCGTCCTTCATAACGAGAACTTGCCAAGACAGCTGTGCATGCGCAAGTGTGTTATGTCGTCGGTCGCTGCGAGCGAGTTGTAAACAGAGCAGCATGGTAGAAAGAACGCACGCTAAAGCTTGGGTCCACTTCACTAAATGTGGTGGGTAACTGGGTGATGATGAAACCAGCGACAACGATCTAAGTGAGACATCCTCATCTTAATCTGCTCCGGTAGGTAAATAAAATGTTTAAGATAATGTTAGCTTGATATGTTAACTTCCGTTTCGTTAATGGTGCGTTCGCTTTCTCCTCGGAACTCCAAATTCCCGACTAGACGCGCTCTAAAGTTTGGCTTCACTTTACTAAATGTGACTGGGTGAAGACGAAACCAGTGACAACGATCTAAGTGTGAGGCACCAGCTTAGTGGCCTAGTGGTAGAGTGTCCGCCTTGAGACTGGGAGATCAGGGTTCGATTCCTGGTCGGGTCATACCAAAGACTTTGAAAAAATGGGACCCAATGCCTCCCTGCTTGACACTCAGCATTAAGGGGTTGGATTGGGGGGTTAAACCGCCAAATGGTTCCCGAGCGCGGCTGTGTCTGCAGCTCACCGCTCCCCCAGGGTATGGGTCAAATGTGGAGAACAAATTTCGCACACACACCTGTGTGTGTGACAACTAATGGGACTTTAACTTTTTAATTTTAATCTGCTCCAGCAGCTAAATAAACTGTTTAAGATAACGTTAGCGTGGTATGTTAGCTTCCATTGCTACCATTGTTATCAGCTAATGGTGCGTTTGCTTTCTCCTCGGAAATTCTATCTTCCCAGTAGGAAAAATCAAATGAAAAAAGACGGCAAAAGGAATGAAGATACACAGTAAATTTAGTTCACAGTAAAGATGTTTGCTTCAGTTTAATTATCAGCTTGTAAAACTACAAGGACGATGTTAAAATACAAACAGTTGTATGTTATTTATCGTGATATTTATCAAATATTGTTATGTATTGAGAAAAATATATATTTAATTATAAAAGAGAATTAAAATAATAAACACTCAAAAGTATCGAAAATTGGTACCGTTAAGTACCGGTATCGATTCCTAGGTACCAGGAATTAGTACCGGATCGATTCAAATGTCAAAGGTACCCATCCCTATTCTGAATATTTAATTATTAACTAACTGAACAAACATCCATGCGTAATCTCGAAATTATGCAGCGTCCTGTTACTCCCTCAGCCCCCTCCTCTCTCGGAGCGCTTCATAAACAATCAGCTGCTGCATGATGGCAAATACGTGTAAAAACAACTTAATGAAACCACCAGAAGAAAGTATTTCAACAGCCTTCTTTATTTTTTTATTTGTACAAAACACGATTAGTGAGTCCACATCCAGACAGAATTATCCACATTCTGTCTAATGATCTGCAGCAGCTGGGATAATTGTGACCACAAAGTTCTGATTTGTTCTGCTACTGATAAAACCAAACATGGTGTAAAGTCTTGAATGAACTTTACAAACACACCAGCACATAACAACAAAACTCTGTATATAACTGTGTGCTGTAGAATTGATGGTTATCTATAAAATAGCATTTGCATTAACCACTACGTGTGTTTTGATTAGGAGTCATTCAAAGCAACACTAACGAGTTGAAACTCTTTGAGATATTGCTTTCAGACGGAGTTCAGTCGTTCTTGAGCCAGAAATTTGAGCAACTTTATATTGTTCACCATTCTGTCGCCCTCTGCTGACCAGAAACTGCACTCAACAGTCTTGTGAGGTCTTAAGGTAGGAACACTAGAGGGAAGTCTTTACCTACTTTATGGCAAAAGATGTTTACCCCCAAATTCCACCACCTCCGCTCCGCTCCGGCACGAACTCCGCAGCAAAATCGGTCCCGTTGTAGTCAATCAGAGCAATTCCACTACTGCGGCCGTGCTGCGGCAGTGCGGCGCAGTGCGCCGCCCTCTGTTCCGGCGTCCGGCAAAAATAGAATCGATCCTATTTTTGACGGACGCCGGAACACCTCCGCAGTAAATGGACAGGAATCACAACCGTCCAACAGGAAAAGGAGCAAGCACAGCTTCCGTTTTTCACAATAAATCGATAAACAAAAAGCGTGTTTTGTTTCATATGCACAGGTTTAACAACTTTTAACAACTATCAATGGCGGCTGAACTTTAAATGCACAAAAGTAAGCCATGAATACAGTTTCTACTATCAAAGTAGTCACACTTTGTTGATCCAAACACTGCTGATCTCTCAACACAAATGATGGGCAGATTGAACAGTTCATTTCGATGCTTCTCCCACACAATGGGTGTTTGGATCTAACTTCCGCGTTTATTGCTCGGACTGTATCGCAAAATCTCGAAAATCCCGCACATGCTTGTTTGCGCACCTCAGGTCTGCGAACCGGAGCGGAGCCGTTGTAGAGCGGGTACCAGTAAAAATTGAGTTCGGAAGCGAGCGGCTGCGGAAGGTGGGGGCGGAGCGTAGCGGAGCTAGTGGAATTTGGGGGTTACTGTGCTGGGAGCTAACATAAAAACTAGCAATTAGCTTTTTCATTTAGCTGACCATTGATAAAAAGCAGAAGAAGAAGCACATTGCTTTTCTTTTTTGGTTGACATCAATGTGGAGTAAAAGTAAAAGTGTGAGAGTAAATATCTTTGGAGTAGAAGCAAAGAGCTAAAACTGAGTGAACATCGACGAGGCCTACGAACGTTTGAGGGAGCAGAAGGAGATTACGAAATCATGGACTGATGGTGACCTGGCTTTTTTGCTACTGGACTTGTAAACAATAACATCTTTGTTTGGCTTATTTAGCATCGTTGACTCATGTTAGTGTTAGCTTATTGCTAGCGCTGGCTACGGCAGGTTGAGACAGGCTTGTTTATGACTCCTTTCAACCAGCCGAAGGGAGAAATGGGAATCTTACTGTTGCTTTAAAGTTGTGTTAGCTTTTAATAATAATAATGCATTGAACTTGTATAGCGCTTTTCTAGACCCCCAAAGACGCTTTCACACACTCTCACATTCACACACTGCTAGTGATGGTAAGCTACTTGTAGCCACAGCAGCCCTGGGGAGGTCTGACAGAGGCGAGGCTGCCATTTGGCGCCGTCGGCCCCTCTGACCACCACTAACACAGGCAAGTTGGGCGAAGTGTCTTGCCCAGGGACACAACAGCAGGATGCCCCTGGCGGGAGCTGGAATCGAACCCATGACCCTCCGATCATGAGGCAACCCGCTGTCACGGTTTGCCTCCACCTACTGATGGATTGTGTCAGTTTTTGTGTTGCAGGTGGGCGCGGCAGACTGCACAGCTGTCTGGAGTTTCGCTAATTGAGGTGCAGAGGATTTAAGGAGCGGTGTGACTCAACTCCAGCTCCGGTTGATGCTCTCACTTGGGTAGCATCTAGCCTCTGAATCTGCCTGTTCTCTTGTGACCTTGAATTAATGACTTTGTATCCCGTTCCAGTATCCTGTTCCCGCATCACCTACCTTGCCTGGAGTTGTTCCCACGTCTCGCCGCTCAAGATCCTCTGGATTCCTCTCTCCACGTCTGCCCGCCTCTCTCCACGTCTGCCCGCCTGCCTCACGCTCAGAACCTCTCACCCGGCCCAACTTCTCCCAGTTCACCTCCGCTCTAGTCCTGGCTCCTGACCGTAAGAACTCTCTCAGTTACAGACTCCCATATCCTGGTTCTCTGGTTCTGGCCTCGCTCACCTTCTGTTTATATCTCCATAGATTCCGGTACCCTCCTGTTCCTGATCATTGAAGCAGCGCCTTTAGTTCTAGTTTTTTTGTCTCTTTTGTTTCCACTGTAAATAAATCACTTTACATTCCTCTCCTGTGATTCTTCATGTCCTGGGTGAAATATCTTGCCCACAACATGACACCCGCTCTACCACCTGAGCTACTGCTGCCCCCAGCTTTTACCTTGTGAATCCAGTCAGAACGAATCTGCATTTCTTAAAACTGAGGCCGTCCATAAATCCTTTCACACAAAGTAAGAAATCCAATGTTTGTATAATTTAATCAGAATCTGAAGATCAGAAAGATCTATAACTTTAAGATTTATAATTCTAGACGGCACCCTGACGAGTTTGCAGATCTGTTAAAAAGGGTTTGTTGTGGCAAAGCCTCTTTGATCAGACTCACCTTGGCAAACAGGCTGTAATTTAGGCTCTAATGTATAACATTATAAATAACAGAAAATGGCTCCAAATTCAGCTTTTTAGATTTAATGAACTGTGTTGTTGCATGGAAGGGTCATATTGCCATTTGGCTATTAAGAGTCATAGTATCAATTTCCTTTAATGTAGCATAGCTTAAGACTGACTGGAACGCCATTGAAGCAGCATTGAGGAAGGCTCCTCTTCCCTGTGTCTTAATTATTCGTTCCCCTGAGCTGCCATGATTAAGGCAAGCCAGACACTGGGACATATTTGGCATTATATTTTTAATGCAACAATACCCGGCTCAGCAAAAAAAACCCTCCACAGATAATTCACAGTGTGTGTCTTGGCTTGGCTCCATTTACTGTGACACATTATTATACTTTTCCCCCCATTCCTCCTCTCCCCCTTCATCTCTTAATAAACCCCTATTTATTCCTCCATCTGGCTTTTTTGTTCTCAGATACTTTCTTTTTTAACCCTCTTGGGGATGAAAAAATCGAGGAGAAAGAACACGGCTTTGTCATACATGTTCTGTCGATTTGCTCAGTCTGTGCGCTGCTATAGGGCTGACGGTGCGTTGCTTGTGTGCTAGTTGTTTGAGTGTTTCTCTGTGTGCAGCAAAAACTAGGCCATATCGACCACCCAGGGGTTTGAAAGCTCAAGGGGTACCAAAACAACGTCGTATAAAAAAAGGAAAAAAAGAACGTTTCAAACACGATAAAGGGGTGAAAAAGACAACACATATGCACATTGTGAAGCACGCATGCAGACAAGCATTCATACACACTTATCATGCACCCCTCCCTTCTCATACACCCTTGGCTCACATTATGTTCAAAGAGGAACATCAAACACTTAATCACACATATCTGAAGGAAAAAAAAACATGATCCTGCTTGATAAACAGCCATGCTTCATTTATAAGTTTTGCCTCCAGCTGGAGATAGTAGCCAGCTACTTTCTGATGGATTAGGTCTTCTATTATCGACACATCATGAGAAATGAGTTGCTGCACTATTGATCCATCTGGAGCGGTGCAGATATGAATAGGATCAGCTGTGAAGTTCAACTTAACCTTTGGGTTTGACTCAGTGGTAAATTCAATTCAATTCAAGTTTATTTATATAGCGCCAAATCACGACAAGAGTCGTCTCAAGGCACTTCACATAATAAACATTCCAATTCAGGTCAGTTCATTAAGCCAATCAGAAATAATGTTTCCTATATAAGGAACCCAGCTAATTGCATCAAGTCACTGACTAGTGTCAGAGTCTTTACAGCAATCCTCATACTAAGCAAGCATAAAGCGACAGTGGAGAGGAAAACTCCCTTTTAACAGGAAGAAACCTCCAGAGGATCCCGGCTCAGTATAAGCAGCCATCCTCCACGACTCACTGGGGATGGAGAAGACAGAGCAGACACACACACACACACACACACACACACACACACACACACACACACACACACACACACACACACACACACACACACACACACACACACACACACACACACACACACACACACACACGCGCGCACGCACGCACGCACACGCACACACACACACACAATGGCTGCTCCTGCCCCCTAATATGAGATTAAACAAGATTTGAGGTACTACTTTGGGTATTTAGTTTGTGTGTGTGTGTGTGTGTGTGTGTGTGTGTGTGTGTGTGTGTGTGTGTGTGTGTGTGTGTGTGCGTGCGCCCATTTCCTGGTCAGGCATGAACTCTAGAGCCAAAGTACTCCAACAGTAAGAACATAGACAAGATGCACACACTCACACATGCACGACCACACACCCTGAAAACTGCATGGACACAAAAAAAAAACATACACACGTGAGATTCCAACCACAGATTTATTTATTTATTTGTTTATTTATTTGCTATGAGATGACACACCACTGTGCCTCCATGAGAAACTTGTCCTCAGATGCAAAAGATTAAGTTTAACTTTATTGCGTTTGATTCAAAGCTACGCTAACCAGTTTTTAGCTCGTTTAAAGTGAACACTATAAATCTGCATCATTCTTGTTTCTGACTGATGCAGAGCCCGATGGATCTTTGTCACTTAACTGCCATTAAAGCAGAGCATGACCCGATCCCAGTCACCAGATGACTGACTGGTGCATCTGTACTGGTTACATGAAATATTGATTTGAGCCAAGCCATTTTCCGTGTCTCTCGTCTGTCACTCAATGCCCTCCCCCAGTCAAATTTAGAGTTTTTTTCTGACAGTACAAGCATGCGAACACAAGTAACTGCAAGGAGTTTCCTTAGCAGAGTGGCACCGGGAGGAGAAAAGCTGATGTTCTGGTGTTTGGTTAGCGTGCATCCTGGGGAGGTGTTTCGGCCATGTCCTGTATCGGCAGGAGGCCAATAGGCTGGGCCAGGACTTGTTAGAAGGATGGGACCTCTAGGCTCACCTGGGAATGCCTTCAGGTCCCATTGTTGGAGCTGGTAGGGATGCTGAGGAGAGAACGGTTCAAGTCGCTTTTGGATTTCTGCTCCCTCAACCAAGATAGCAACTTTGAATTATTAAGTGTAAATTAGTAAAATGTGGAAAAAAGTGGAAAGTTTTAGCTAATCTCAGGTAAATTAGAATAAAACAAGTTTGTTGCATTTTGTTACAAACATAAAAATCATGCTATTTCAGTTACTGTGGGTGCAGTTTTTAGATCGAATGAATAAATTAAGCATAGTCTATTAATGACTTGTATTTATTAATCCAGTTCCTCCAAACATGTTGAGTCCTGTACCACTTGGCTGCTTGATGATACATCACCAAACTAATTAAACTTGAGCAAAGAGGACATTTACTTCATCCAACTGCCCAGAAACACAAAAAGCACACCTCGGCAGCCAGAACAGGTGCCGTTAGCCTACACAACCACCGTTTTTCTTATATTCCTCTTTAGTTTTCCTGTTCGTAAGGTTAGATCTTGGCTTAGAGACCAAAAAAAAAAAAAAAACTAGCTGCATGTCATGATGTAACACTTCACAGTGCTATTTTTAATTTCAAAGAAACAGAAGTACTTTTCTCTGTATATACAGGCCTTCAGTTAAATCCCAGCACCTGCCATGCTGTGAAGCTACAGTTAAAATGTTCAATATGCAGATGAAACTTACGAACCACGGCAAATAATGAAAATGTCATAAAACTTTCCACAAAAGTATAAACAACTCAAGGTTTGAACCCAGAAACAGTTTTCTCAAAATGAGTCACAGTTTTTTTTCTCAGAGCAACCAAGATAAGTTCAGAAATACAAGAGGAATATTTAAAAAAAAAAGAAGAAATTGGAGGGGAGGGAATAAACGAGTGCTTTGGTGCCTTCCTCTGTGGGTTAGGATGTTATGTATTCATTCTCTAAGGAACCTTGAGGTCCCTGTTTCCCATGTTAATTGATACAACCATTAAAAAATAAGGGAGGGGGAGGATGAGGAAGTCACCAGAGGAGATTAGAAGGAAGCGACAGCACGGGGTGGGGGAGAAAGAATAAAACATCAAAAAATGCTGGATGGTGACCCCACTTTTGAAATGGTTGGCTAAAAGTCGGACGTCTGACTGAAGACCCTGTGTGTGTTTGTCCTACAGAACAAAAACCACACAGAAAAACGATTGTCAGTGGCTAACAGAGCTGCTCTCACCTATTGGGATGAGTCACAGTTCGAGGAGCTGTTAATTACGCCGATAGCTGAACCGAAACTTCGAGAACGGGAGCAGCTGTCTGTGCATTTACATATCACACAGTATCACACGGCCTACATAGAGAGGAAGGGAGGGAGGTATGAAAGAGAGCGGAGAAAGGTAGCGAGAGGAAAACAAGATATTACACAGGGAATGGATTTAGGGAGAAAACACACACACTCACACACACACACTCACACACACCAACTGAGAAATGAACGATTAAAGGAGAACACAAATAGACAAAAGAAGATGGAGTGAAAATTGATTCTGCTTTTGCATCACAAATGTGACGTTCACTGAAATACACAAACATTAATCCTGACCTGACATGTTTCACCCATGAAATCAGAAAACAAGCTTTTAAAATGTAGCTCCAAATCCAATGGCTGACTAATGGAGGAAACACCCAGAATAGCAGATGTTTTTCAGCCACATAATTAAAGCTGGTCTGTTTAGCTTGCTTTTTTCTCCCTAAATTCAAAGATAACCCGACCTGAAGACTGGCACAGACCAGAATTACACTCACTTTAGATTCCAAAGCCACAAACAAGGCTAGCTATTAGCATACAGCTGCTAAAAGGCTAGCCTGCAGCTCCTCTGAAAGCTTTTGGTTTATTTCCATAAATAAACCAACAGAGCAAAGCAAGAAACACAGAACCAGTTGGACGTATTGTCTTGCTTCTCTACTTGAAAATCGAATGCAGATAAAGGCTGTAGTTTAATGAAATACTTTGAATTGTTTCAACATAGGTTTCAGTAAATATTACTTATCTGTAGAGTGTCTTACACAAACATTTTTATTACTGAGAACATTTGGTTCAGGATCTGGTTTGTATGAGGCCAAGAGCATGTACAGAATATTTTGATGAGGTTTTTGCTCAAATCAACCAACATGGCCAAAGTTTGGAAGTTGAAATAAAAAAAAAGCCGACTGAGCAGGGAAGTGCTGTTATATCTTGATAGGCCTT